AAAATATAAAAATTTTCATGAAATGAATTCGCCGTACTTTTGGTTTTTGACATCTACTTAAACCAAATGCAAAAACAAAATACATGTAAAATGTTGTTGTTGCAGAACTGCCACCACCAAGGCGAATCTTCTATAAAATTCGTTTATCTTGGAAACTATTACAGTTATAATCTTCAATTTTTGCACGAATAACTTTAACATCCATTTAAACATTTTAAATAATAAAGCCCCATATGAATTAAATAGAAAAATTCGTATATCTGAGAAATTATTAGAGCTAGAATCTTTTACTTGAAGAATCTTGACATTCATCTGAACATTTAGAGTATAACAGGCGGACTTTCAATGGGGAACTTGGCACCCTCCATATGAATTAAATATAAAATTTCATTTATCTGGGAAACTAATAGACTTGATTTTTAAAATTTAATCTGGGGAGCTTGAAGCCCCCACATTAATCAAATAGAAAAATTTTAATATCGTAGATCTTCAAATTGAACATGAAGAACTTTGACAATCATGTAAACATTTAGAGCATAACGGGCGGACACTGGGTATAGCTAGTATAGTATAAAGTCAAGTCATTTAATTTTGCGGCGAATTCATGAAATTTTTTATGTATGGAGTTAACAGCGTCGGCTTTGAGAGGAATTTTTTTTATATGGAGTTTGACAGCATCAGGCTAAATTTCCATGGACAAAAAAACAATCAGCTGTTGAAATGACTTCACCTTATTAGTTTCGCCATGGCCACCACCAAGAAGAGTTACATATATGTATGTATATACCTATATACATATATGTATGTACATATATATTATTATACTTATTATACTTCATATCTATATATATAAAAATGAATGTGTGTTTGTTTGTATGTTTGTATGTTTGAACGTTATAGACTACTAAACGGCTGAACCGATTTTCTTCAAATTTTCGGAGCGTATTCCTGTATGTCTGGAATAGGTAATAGGCTACTTTTTATTTTGAAATTCTAGGTGGGCGAGTAGCCACGCCCAAATTAAGAAAATATTAAATCCGTATATTTGAGATCATATAACAGTTAGAGTCCTCAAATTTTGTCGGAGCAACTTTAGTGTCAATATGATTATTTAGGACAAAATGTAGGCGGAATAGCATTAGGGGGCGTGGCACCTTCCATATAAATTAAATACAAAAATTCGTTTATCTTGGAAACTATTACAGTTAGAATCTTCAAATTTTGCACGAATAACTTTAACATCCATTTAAACATTTTGGGTAATAATTTGGCGGACTACCCATGAGGGGAGCGGCACCTCCCATATTAACTAACTAAATTCTTCAAAATTTGCACGAAGAACTTAAATATTCGTCTGAACATTTTGGAGGAAAAAAAAGCGGACTTTCATCTGGGGGGCTTAAAGCCCCCAGATGAATTAAATAGAAAAATTCGTATATCTGAGAAATTATTAGAACTAGAATCTTTAAATTTTACTTGAAGAATCTTGACATTCATCTGATCATTTAGAGTATAACGGGCGGACTTTCAATGGGGAACTTGGCACCTCCCATATGAATTAAATATAAAATTTCGTTTATCTGGGAAACTAATATAACTTGATTCTTAAAAGTTTGCACAAATTACTTTAATATGCATCTGAACATTTTGGAGGAAAAAGCGCGGACTTTAATCTAGGGAGCTTGAAGCCCCCACATGAATCAAATAGAAAAATTCTTCGATCGTATATCTTTAAATTTTACATGAAGAACTTTGACATTCATGTGAACATTTAGAGCATAACGGGCGGACTTTCAATGGGTGGCTTGGCACAACATATATGAATTAAATACAAAATTTCGTATACCTTGGATACTCTTATATTATTAAAATTTTTCATAGATAGATAGAAACTGGCGAACTTGCAATAATTTGCTTCACATCTCTCATATGTAACATATTATAAATCTGGAAAACTATTGTGGTTAGAATCTTCAAAATCGTTAAGTGGGTTTTTTATTTATACATATTGCTTTTAGGGTAGCAAAGCACACTGGGTATAGCTAGTTAGTTTATATATTCCTTTCTTTCTACTTTTCCTCATTTTGCAAATTATCAAATATTTTCTTTTAAAATTTAATCATCAACTATTTTCTTTTAAATATTTTCCTTTATACTTATCCTTATTTCTTTTATTCCTAAGTCTAGTTAACCGTTAATTTGAATTACATATTAAATAATAAGAACATCTTTGTAAAATTAGTTCAGTAGTGATTTATCAATTGAAATGAAAACATTAACTAATAATAAAACAAGTAAGAAATTATAGTCGGGCGAGCCGACCATATGATACCCTACACCTGTTATAAAAATAAAATGTGATTTAGTTTTCATAATAAAGCATTGTAGTTGAATTGTACCTTGCCTCAGATAATTAAGCCATTTATTGTTGAATAAAATTGTGGACATTTAAATCAAATTTTGAAGGGGGCTTTGTATAGGTGTTATGGCCAAATGAGACCCTATAATTATAAAATTCATGAGAGTCATCAAGGCTAGTATAGCACTTGGTTTTGTAGCTTTTTGTTGAGATACGAGTATATTAAACATAATTATGAATTTAAAGGCCCTATTCGTCGGATTGGGGGCTAGGTGAAATAATGGACCGATGTTAACCAGTTTCAATAGGCTTTGTCTCCGGTACCATAGAAGATCATGTGCCAAATTTCATTGAATTATCATCAAAATAGCGACCTGTAGTTTGATTACAAGGTTTACAAGCCCTATTCCGGGGTTCAGTTGTATGGGGGCTAGGTGAAATAATAGACCGATGTTAACTATTTTCAATAGGCTTTGTCTCCGGTACCATAGAGGATCATGTGTCAAATTTCATTGAATTGTCATCAAAATTGCGACCTGTAGTTTGGTTACAAGGTTTATAAGCCCTATTCCGGGGTTCAGTTGTATGGGGGCTAGGTGAAATAATAGACCGATCTTAACCATTTTCAATAGGCTTCGTTCCTGGGACAATAGAAGATCATGTGCCAAATTTCATTGAATTATCTTCAATATTGCGACCTGTAGTTTGATTATAAAGTTTACATGGACGGACAGACGAACGGACGGACATAGCTAAATCGACTCACAAAATTATTCTAAGCCGATTGGTATACTTTAAGGTGGGTATAGGACCAATATTATTGTGCGTTACAAACATCAGCACAAACCCAATATACCCTTCCCACTAAAGTGGTGTAGGGTATAAAAAATAAATAAAAGAGAGTTTTATTTAAAATTCATACACAAACTCAAAATATGTTTTAATTATATTTGTTACTGGCGCAGTCGGTTTTCCGAAGTAAAACTTTAATAATAAATTATTAAAGAATTAAATTGTTTAGTTTATATTTAAAAAAAATATATATTTTTATTTTCACTTTCACTTTTACATTATTAACTTAACACTATGAATTACACCACGTCTTACAATTAACTAACCAAAATTCTTAATTCTAAGTGTCATATTTATACCTAATAAGAAGCACAATCAGCAATTAATAACAAGTAAGAAATTATAGTCGGGCGAGCCGACCATATGATACCCTACACCTTTGACAAAAATATAATGTGATTTATTTGCCATAATAAAGCATTTAAATTGAATTGTACCTTGCCTCAGATATACATACTTAAGCCGTTTATTGTTGAATAAAATTGTGGACATTTAAGTGAAATTTTGATGGGGGCTTTTCATAGGGGCTAGGGTCATATGAGGACCTATTATTATGGAGTTCGTGAGGGTCATCAAATCTTGTATAGAACTTGGTTTTTGCAGCTTTTTTCAAGATATGAGTATATTAAACATAATTATGAACTTAAAAGCCCTATTCGGCGGGTTCAGTTGTATGGGGGCTAGGTGAAATAATGGACCGATGTTAACCATTTTCAATAGGCTTCGTCTACGGTACTATAAACGATCATGTGCCAAATTTCATTGAATTATCTCCAAAATTGCGACTTGTAGTTTGATTACAAAGTTTAAAAGCGCTATTCGGCGGTTCAGTTGTATGGGGGCTAGGTGAAATAATGGACCGATATTAACCATTTTCAATATGCTTCGTCTACGGTACCATAAACGATCATGTGCCAAATTTCATTGAATTATTTCCAAAATTGCGACTTGTAGTTTGATTACAAGGTTTACAAGCCCTATTGGGGGGTTCATTTGTATGGGGGCTAGGCGAAATAATGGAACGATCTTAACCATTTTCAATAGGTTTCGTCCCTGGGACAATAGAAGATCATGTACCAAATTTCATTGAATTATCTTCAAAATTGCGACCTGTAGTTTGATTACAAGGTTTACATGGACGGACGGACATAGCTAAATCGACTCAGAAAATGATTCTGAGCCGATTGGTATACTTTCAGGGGTATAGGACCAATATTATTGTGCGTTACAAACATCAGCACAAACCCAATATACCCTCCCCACTGAAGTGGTGTAGGGTATAAAAACATAATATTGAATTGCAACATAATTATTTGTAAATTGATACTATATTTTTAATGTTCAGCGAATTTATTTGTAAACTATTTTTTATAAATATTTTTTTAACTGTCAGCACATAATTTTCAGGTTCAATGAAACATATTTAGGTCAGTTTTATTTAAGACAGTTTTGTAAATTTGTATAAGAGCATTTTCATGCTACATGTTTAGTTCAAGAGAATTATTTAGTATTTACTAAACTTTGTTATTTATTATTTAATTATTTAAATTGCCCGTAATTAATTTACCACCAGTATACTGGAAATCATATCATTTGGTGGTTGTTTTTTCTTAATCTCTTTTGTTCTCTCATTGCTTAATTCGCTGTAAACTGTCATTACTTTTATTGTTTTATGCTTATTACTTATTGATCTTGTAAAAATCAAGCCAGTTGTGCAGTAACTATCAACCAATAAACAAAACAAACAAAAGAGTGCATCAATAATAAACCAGTTCTTTTAATACAACAACAACCCCTATTGTGTCTTTCGTTTTATGCATTTACTTTCAAAGTAAGATTAAAATAATATAAAAAATAAATTTGCAATATTTAGAAATGATATATTTGTACCCTACCCCCCATATAAACATTTTGATCCCACGAACCGGATTAAAACCCCCTATAAAATTTTTTCAAATATTTTACTATTAAATATTGCAAACCCCTTTTAAACCCCAGGCTTAAAGTGAAAAGTAAAGTTTTTGTGGTAATGTGCTGAAGTGCATCTATACATAAAACCCCAGGCGTAAAGTGAAAATTAAAGTTTATTGTGGTAAAGTGGTAACGTTCATCATAAATCATACCCCAGGCTTAAAGTGAAAGTGTGGTGCTAAATATTGCTGAAACTGATCTACAATACCATCCAGTCATCATCATATAAAAATTAACCCCCATCTTCAAGTGCTCAACAAGTATTTATTTAAAAGGTATTTCTTCTTTGAAATTTATTATACGTATATTTTTATCTGCATACCCCTAATAAAATATAAAAAAAGAAGTGTGCAACAACAATTTAGCCCTTACCGTTAAACCATATTTACATGCAACCCGTTACAAATTTCTCAAAAATAAAAAATCCCTTCATAATAAGAACGTAATCCACAAGTGTTTAAAATAATTTTTGTATAACAGTTTTGATAAATTTTAACAGTGATGACATTTTAACATTGAGTAGCTAACTTTCATCAACATAAAAGATTACAGTGATTATTTACTTGTAGCTTATCTCACTCAAAGAGAACTACCAATACATACCACAGCTATTAGTTCGATCTGTTAACTACAAATTAAAGAGACAGTAATTGCTCAATAAATTTGAAACTCTAACATAAGTGTTTAGTCACCCTACGAAAATTATGTTGGTATTATTTGTTCAATACAAATAAAAGCTACACAATTTATAAAACTGTAAATAAGTTGTAAATACGATTTAATATTTGCTGATAATTCTGAAACATTTTATAAATTTTTTTTGAATTTTTATCAAATTACTTTTAAACCCCTTGAATTATAGAAATCTAAACAAAGTTTTAAATTGTGTTGAGTCGTAAAGCCAATATTTTGTTTACGTTTGAGAAAAATACTGAAAATTCTTTGATCACTAATTGTTCCGAAACCCAAAGTTGTTTTTTCGTATAGTTTCTTGAATACAAACTGGAAATGTCGACTTTAGATGAATTTATCCGATCTTCTGATAAGGTTGTAGAATTTGAAGCTTTTTTCTCTGGCACCGCAGTTACTAATCATACAGTACACACCCTTGACATACATAAAGATGAGATTCTTCGACACTGGTCAGATTTTAGGGCAGCCTATGATAAGATTCTGCAAAATTATAATACTGTACAGGAAAATATCAGTGTAGAAACTCTAAAGGAAAGATTCTTTAAAACTTTTGATTCCCATGTTCGAGCATTGTCTAGGGCTAATGAGATTTTAGACTCCCTCCGAAATAGTAATATCCCTGCTGTCAACCCCCCTACACCTGTAGCTGATTCTAACCCTAACATATCTTTACCCCCATGCGATACGCAAACTTTTTATGGAGATTATGTCTCTTGGCCCCCCTTCCGTGATATGTTTACGGCCCTTTATATTAACAACTCCCGATTGTCCCCTGTTGAAAAACTATTTCATTTACTAAAAAAGACAGAAGGCGAACCCCATGAGATTTTAAAGAATTGTCCACTCACTAATGATGGTTTCAATATGGCGTGGACAAACCTTGTCGAACGATATGAAAATTCCCGTATTCTTGTTAATTCACAATTGAAAACTCTGTTTAACTTATTGAATAATCCTATTTCTAAAGAATCTGGTCGCTGTATAAAACAACTCCAACAATCAATAAACGATTGTATAAAAAATCTTTCGCTGCTTCAAATAGATACCAAAAACTGGGACGTTATCTTTGTTTTTATTTGTGCAAAATGTCTTCCTGATATAAGCTTACATTTATGGCAACAACATTTAGGGAATAGTAAAGAATTACCCACTTGGCAGGAAATGGATAGCTTTTTAACTTCTAGATATCAATCTCTTGAAGGCTTCGCGGATATAAGAACTACTTCGTCTGATTCTCAAAATAACTATAAGAAATATAATCCGAAGAAACAGATTCCCAATAATTCTAAAAAAGTTAATACATTTCAAACAAAAGTTAAAACAGATAAGCCTCTAAAATGTCCACTTTGTCAAGAACCACATCCCTTAAGGTTTTGTCCCACTTTCTTATCAATGTCAAGTGAAGATCGATATTCGTTGGTTAAAAAACAAAGGCGGTGTACTAACTGTCTAGCAGCCTCACATGATCATAAATCTTGTAAAAGTCAATTCAGATGTTCATTCTGTAAACAGAAACATCATTCCCTCTTACACCGTTCCGAAAATCAACCTGTAACCCAAATAACTAATACTAGACCCTTTAATGATTACACAACGAACAATAATAACAATAATAATAATAATCACGATCACGATTCACACCCCTCACAAACCGTTGGCAATCCTCGTGATAACCCCGAAACTTCAGCTGCTGCTGCCGCAAGATTACGTCAAGCATATTCAACCCAACTACAGTCCACAACACATAACTCTGTTATCCTTGGCACAGCGTTAGTTGATGTTTGTGTAGGTGATGTGCGTTGTACCGTAAGAGCTCTTATTGATTCAGCCTCAGAGGCCACCTTTATCTCTAAAAAACTCCAAGCTTCTCTGGCAATCCCCACAAAAACTTCACATACAACTATAACTGGTCTTAGCGGTTCGTTATCTGCTACTGCTACTCGAATTTGTACTATTACAATAAGTTCACCTCTAGAAAAACTCTTTAAAACTTCAACCGATGCATTCGTTGTTAATAAACTGACAGGAGATTTACCCTATTACGAACTCTCTTCCATTATGAGTACCAAGTTTTCTAATCTTCCCTTAGCTGATAGCTACTCTTCTAAAACTTCGAATGTTGAACTTTTGATTGGTTGTGATGTTTACCCAAAAATCCTTAGAGATGGTATTCGTTGGGATTATAATAGATCACTCGTCGCTCAGCGTACCATTTTCGGATGGATAATCTCTGGGAAATTACAATCTCCTACCCCTATTTTAAATTCTGTTTCATCATATATGAACCATATCGACTTAAACGCACAACTTACTAAATTCTGGGAACTTGAAGAAGTTCATGAAAAACCAGCCCAATCTAATGAAGATATCTTTTGCGAAAATTTATATAAAAATACAACATTTAGAGACGAAAATGGTCGTTTCGTTGTGTCCTTGCCCTTTAAATCTGAATATTCTAATAATATTCCCCTAGGCAACTCTCGCAACTCTGCTTTATCGCAATTTCTCAGAAATGAAAGCAGACTCAAAAATAACCCGAAATTAAAGTATGATTACGACAAAGTAATCGAAGAATATTCAAATTTAAATCATATGATGGCTGTAAATTCCAATTTATCTAAACCCTCTAACTCTTCCTACTATTTACCCCATCACTCTGTGCTCAAACCCGAATCTACAACCACTAAACTTCGTGTTGTATTCAACGCCTCTAACCCCACTACGTCTGGACTAAGTCTAAATGACGTCTTATACCCCGGACCAGTTTTACAACAAGATTTAACTGTCCTTATAACCCGTTGGCGATTGTTCAAATATGTTTTTAATGCAGACATCGAGAAGATGTACAGGCAGATACTTGTTAACCCACAACACACCCCATATCAAAGGATTTTATTCCGAAGTTCTTCTGAAAAGGAACCCCAAGATTTTGAGCTACAAACCGTAACATTTGGAGTTAACTGCGCTCCATACCTAGCCCTGCGAACTCTTATCGAACTTGCTACATGCTGTAATAATGATTACCCCGAAATATCTACCATACTCAAAGAGAACATGTATGTCGATGACGTGCTAGCAGGGTCCCATGATCTTTCTTTAGCCTTAAAATCAAGAGATAACTTAATTAAAATCCTAAATTCTGCTGGATTCCCCCTCCGTAAATGGATTTCAAACGAAAAATCCCTACTAAAAGGCTTAGAACCCGAACATTTACTTATGTCTGATACATTAGAGCTTGAAGACACAGTTACAACTAAAACACTAGGACTACGCTGGAATGCGAGTCAAGATTATTTCTACTTTAACCCCATAACTCAGCCGATCCGAAATAATATAACCAAACGAACTGTTTTGTCAGATATTGCAAGATTATTTGACCCCGCTGGATGGCTAGCCCCAAAGATCATTGTTGCGAAAATGATAATGCAACAGATCTGGAAAGATCAAATCGAATGGGATGATCCACTAAAGCCGGAAACTTTGCGTAATTGGCTTTCGCTTTTAGATGATTACCCGAACATTGGAATGATAAAAATACCCCGATTTGTAAATTATACCCCCTCATACTTCGTAGAACTTCATGGCTTTTGTGATGCTTCTGAAAAAGCCTATGCTGCTACCCTATATCTTCGAACAACAAGCGAAACAGGTCACATATCAACTCATTTACTCTTAGCCAAGACTAAAGTTGCCCCAGTAAAATTCGTTACACTCCCCAGGAAAGAACTATGTGGTGCTGAATTATTAGCAAAATTGATCTCAACATTTCTGTCCCAAGTTAATTTTGCTAAATGCAATCTACATCTCTGGACAGATTCAACTATTGTGTTATCGTGGCTTCAAAAACACCCCTCGCATTGGACCACTTTCGTCGCCAATAGAATCACGTCTATAGTAGAAAAAGTTGGAAATGATAAATGGCGTCATGTTTCCTCCAAAGATAACCCAGCTGATTTGGGATCTCGAGGCCTTACTGCAAAGGATTTGATAAGCAACGATCTATGGTGGCATGGACCAACGTGGCTTAAACTCCCTAGTTCTGAATGGCCATCAGTTTTGCCTGTTATAGATACTCACGAAGAGGTTAGACCTGTAAAAACTCATTTAAATCAAAACTTTGAAGATATTTTAAACCGTTTCTCTGATCTCTCTCGTGCCATGCGTGTAATCGCTTATATATATCGATTTTATCATTCTACTCACCCACGTTATAAAACCACATATAATTATCCCTCTCTCACCATTCAACACACAGAAATGAAACATGTTAAACTTCGCTTAGTGGTTTCTTGTCAAAAGTTTTACTTTCTCGAATATTCATTGCTTTCTAGAGGACAAGAGATTCCCAAGAAAAGTCCCTTGTTAACATTTAACCCGTTTATCGATTCTGATAGCATAATGAGGATCAATGGTAGACTTTCTCGGAGTGAAATGCTATCTTATGATGAAAGATTTCCTAAGATTCTCCCCTACTCAGGTCGCTTTACCCGTTTATATTTAGAACTTTTACACAAATACACAGTACATGGAGAAAATTCTCTTCTAATACGTCTAGTACGATTAGAGTTTTGGGTACCGAAACTGAAAAATCTTGTCAAAACCATTATATTTAACTGCAAGACTTGTGTTTTATTTAAGAAAAAGCAAAGTCAACAACTCATGGCTTCACTTCCCCCTGAACGTACATTCCTTTCACGTCCTTTCTGCAACACCGGTTTAGATTTCGCGGGCCCATTTAATATAAAGTCATTTGCAGGTCGCGGATGTAAAATCACTAAAGGTTATGTTCTAGTATTTGTTTGCTTTGCTACGAAAGCAATTCATTTGGAAGCCACCAGTGAACTTTCAACCCAAGCCTTTTTAGCAGCATTCTCCCGTTTTTTCTCCCGCCGAGGCACCCCACAAGTTCTGTTCTCTGATAATGGCACTGCATTTGTAGGCGCAGCCAATATATTCAATAAAACCCAAGAAAATCTCTTATCCCAAGTACGAACTAATATCCAGTCTCAAAATGCATTTCAAAACATCGAGTGGCGTTTTAACCCCCCTGGAGCTCCTCATATGGGAGGACTCTGGGAGGCAGGAGTGAAAAGTTTTAAATCACATCTTAAGAAAATTACTCATGCACAAACTTTTACCTTTGAAGAATTCACCACGATGCTTTCAAGAATCGAAGCTTGTCTCAACTCAAGGCCATTAAGTCCAATGAGTGACAACCCCAATGAAATAAGCGCTTTGACACCCGGCCATTTTCTTATTGGCGCCCCTCTGCTGTCACCACCTGAACCAGACTTCTCTAGTCGATCACTTAGTTATGCAAACAGATGGCAAAAATTAAATGTACTCCACCATCATTTCGCATGCAGATGGAAAGAGGAGTATTTAAAAGAATTGCATAAACGCATAAAGTGGAAATATCCCCAAAGAAACTTTGCTGTTGGTGACCTAGTTGCAATCAAGAAAGATCATCTTCCCCCAAATGAATGGCGACTTGGTCGTATACAAAAAGTTTCCACTGGTCAAGACAATAAAGTCAGAGTGGCAGAAATCGTTACCACAACTGGTTCTATAACAAGGCCAATTGTTAAATTAGTTCTCCTGACCCCCAATAATAACGAATCAAACTAATTCTCCCTTTTATTTACAGCACTATGGCCCCACAACACCGTCAAAGACGAAATCTAACCGTAAGAAGAAGTTTATCTCCCATAGAAAGACGAAGATATCAACGTCATCAACCCGACTGCCGCTTGTGTAGAAGAGACCATCCTTTACGATCCTGCTACAAGTTTAATAACATGAATTTAACATCCAAACTCAAAATTGTGAAACAATATAAATACTGCCAAAATTGTTTAGCCCACAGTCACGTCCTGGCAAGATGTCGTAGTTCCGAAAGGTGTCACATTTGTCAACAAAAACACCATACCCTTTTGCATTTTCATGCTCTCATCAGACCAATACAAAACCTCAACATCAACCCAGAAAGAAATCTTTTGCAGTCAACAATTTTACGACCGACTGTAATAGTCAAATCAGGTTTGCTGGTGATTGGCGTGATGTACGTGGCATTATAAACCCTTCAGTTGAAACCAGCCAAATTGCAGAATTTTTACCAACCCGTCATCGTCTGCCACTTGAAAGGTCAGGTTCCCATCGTTTTTGCAAAATTACTTTTAGACCACATTTTGTCAACAGACCTGTGATCATTATAAATGCCTCAGTAACCAAGGAGTTACCACAGTTTCAGCGACCACTAGAGCTAGATGCGTCTATTGCTGAGCCATACAGAAACATGTATCTGGCAGATCCAAGATTTTATAACGAGTCAGAAATCGACTTAATTCTCGGCGCTGACGTTTATCCTCATATCATCAAATCAGAAATTCGTCCACCCACACTCACCTCTCCGATGGCCCAGGACACCGTATTAGGCTGGATCCTAATCGGGAATGTTCGCCGATCGTAAATCATATTCTATTATATTTATACATTATAGACAATTTTATATACATTTAAAATTTGTGTAGAAATGTAATTATGAATTATATGAATTATGAATTATTATGAATTATTATTATTATGAATTATTATATACTATGAATTATTTTGAAAAACATAATGAATTTGCTATAATTAGTCATAAAATCTGAAAGTTGTTTCTTCATAAACATTGAATTTTTGTTTAAACTGTTAAACTGTTTCTTATAAAAAAACTAAAATGAACTGTGCTATTAATTTTGCCAACACTGTAATTATTCTTAAAAAGAAAAAAACGGAAAAAATTATCTTTTTGTTTGTAAAAAATTTAATTTATTTTATCACTCAATATTGTACATATTGTGTATCTAAGCTTTTGTTTTTTTTTAAACATTTATTCCAATTTGCCATAAAACTATTTTGAATTTATTTATTTATGAAATTTTCCCGAAGGCTTGGAATAACCATCCTGTCCTCTTGTGATTTTGCGTAACCGCAAGGGGGCCGGAATGTTTAGTTCAAGAGAATTATTTAGTATTTACTAAACTTTGTTATTTATTATTTAATTATTTAAATTGCCCGTAATTAATTTACCACCAGTATACTGGAAATCATATCATTTGGTGGTTGTTTTTTCTTAATCTCTTTTGTTCTCTCATTGCTTAATTCGCTGTAAACTGTCATTACTTTTATTGTTTTATGCTTATTACTTATTGATCTTGTAAAAATCAAGCCAGTTGTGCAGTAACTATCAACCAATAAACAAAACAAACAAAAGAGTGCATCAATAATAAACCAGTTCTTTTAATACAACAACAACCCCTATTGTGTCTTTCGTTTTATGCATTTACTTTCAAAGTAAGATTAAAATAATATAAAAAATAAATTTGCAATATTTAGAAGTGATATATTTGTACCCTACCCCCCATATAAACACTACATATATCCATAACTCCCCCTTTTTGTTAGTTGAATCGTCCCGATTGAATCGTTTTGGAAAATTAGTTTTAATGTTCTAATAAATTTTTGTCTATTTGGCGGATTCTTTGTTGTTGGCTTAGTTCCATGATTATTGGTTGTGGAATTTACTTTGTCTTTTTGTTTCCAGGTTAGGTTACGTTAGGTTGATAGGAGGATGTATACTACATCAAATCCGAAGAAATACACCTAGGCCACTATCGGGCCTGTTGTGCACTCCAATTCATAAAAAAAAAATTGTTCACTGAATGTATTATTTTTCCATGTTCAGAAACTCAGTTTCCTGGACGTAATTCCTTAGAATCTTCCAATCAGTGTTGGTTAAGAATGCTATTTCCGGAATAACATAACTTCCAAGATACTTGGATCTAACTTCGACGAATGCCTGACAGTGGCAAAGAAAGTGCTCCAGAGTTTTACTGTCCTCTCCACATGTTCTACATTCGTCTTAATCCGCACGTCACAATTTTGTATAGATGTGCACGTAATCCTGTGTGTCCACTCAGAATACGTACCATCATACTAACCTCAGACTTGCTCATTTTGAGGAGATTTTTCGTCTTGCTCTCATCAGGGTCACTCCATAGAATCTTTGTGGTTCTACCCACCGTTTCATTATTCCAAGAGGCCTTATGGGATTCTCTCTTCCATATTTTTAATTCAGCTTATGTTGCGTCGAATGGTTTTGCGTTTGTCAGGTTAACTACATCGAGCTCCCTTCCCTTTAAAGCTATTACATTCGCCCTTTCGTTGCCGACTACTGCCGAGTGGCCTGGTACCCATATGATGTAAACCTTACTTCTGGGAGAGTATTCAGTTAAAGCTTTCTTACAATCCAATACGGTCTTAGATTTAATTCTATCACCTGATATCGCCCTAATTGCCTTCTGGCTGTCGCTAAATATATTAAGCCCTGTGGGCGCCATATTTATTCTAATCCAATTTACACATTCTGTTAGTGCTCGTACTTCTGCCTGGAAGCTTGTGTTATGATTAGGTTAACGGTGGTATATTTTTGTTTCTGGGTCTTCAATATAGAACCCCAGACCCACTTTGTCCCCTAATTTAGAGCCATCCGTGTAGCATCGGATTCCTACTGGTATTTGCTCCAATGTTCCGCTTGACCAAGACATTCTATCTGGGATTAGCGTTTCAAAGTTTCCGACATATTCTGTGTCTCGTATGCGATCAGGCACGTCCGATGAATGTGTATAACCTTCCAATGTGTCCAGTATACATTGATGACGTGTCCTATAACCGTTTTTGGCCAGTTCGCCTAAAGTTAAGAGCGTTCGGCCGTAAGCGCCGCCTCATATCTTAAATATGTTTCAATAGGTGGAATATCTAGCAACGTTTACAGAGCCTTGGTTGAAGTAGTACACATGACACCACTTATACCGAAGCAGCATGTACGCTGAACTCCCTGTAGTAGTTTGATATTACACTTTTTGTTTAAAGCAGTCCACCAGATTATTGTAACATAAGCTAGAATTGGTCTAATTACACTTTTATAAAACCAATTTGTCATAGTAGGACTAAGACCCCATTTCATGCCTATGGTTCTCCTACATATCGCCCAGCACCGATGTGCCTTGTTGATCCTATCCTCTATGTGGTGTCTTCATTTTAATTTCCGGTCAAGTATTACACCTAAGTCCTTAACTTTGTCTGTCACTGGTATCTCCTTGCCTAGGAAGCAAGGTTCAGTATACGTAGAAATTTTTGTCTTTCTTGTGAAAAGACAGATTTCCGTCTTCGCCGGGTTAACATTGAGGCCTCTCAGTTGAGCCCAGCTCAAGGCCGTATTCAGAGCCTGCTCAGCTCTTCTACACAAGTAATTTGGATCCTTTCCCTTAAAAAGTATTACGACATCGTCTGCATAGCAGACAGGTCTAAGTCCTAATCGTGGTAACCCAGAGTAAAGGTGACAAAATACCACCCTGTGGTATACCGCGAAATACCTTTTTCCTGATAGTTATATCTTACATCTCGCAGCTTATCCATCTGTTCCTTAACATGTAGTTGATCCAGTTACGGAGCACCCGGTCAACATAAAACTGGTCTAGGGATTGGATAAGGGTATCAGTGTGCACATTATTGAAAGCGCCGTGCCCGGTTAAATAGTTTGCGAAGAGTCTTCCCAAGGTTCCGGATCTCCCCAGTTACCCAGGGTTTCTCCTGGGCAGATCTCCGCTCTCGCAGAGGGCAGCTGGCCTCGAACGATTCAACCAGGGCGCTTGTGAACGTTTCCACTTTGGCATCTATATCCTCTTTATGTTGACATTGGAAAGTGCCCTGACCTAAACGGTTCTTTAGTAAGGTCCCGAACATTGTCCAATTAGTTTTAGAATCATTCCGAAACTTTATCGGCTTTGGTGGTGGCCTTAGTATTTTGAATCTTATGTACCGATGGTCAGAAAAGGAGTGCTCGTTCGAAACTCTCCAATCTTGAATTTCGTTTATAAGCTCTTCTGAACATATAGTTATATCTAATACTTCTTCTCTGATTCTATTGACGAAGGTAGTTTTATTACCTAAGTTCAATGATATCAAGTCTTTAGTATTAAGGAAATCCATGAGGGCTTGTCCCCTGCGATTGGTGTTTGTACTACCCCAAGCAGTTTCATCAGATCCGACGTAAACAGATAAACAGATGCAAGGAATATGTTGCCACGACCTTGATTCAGCACCGTTGCATCCGATGTTGATAATCCTGTTGAGAGGAGAAAACATAAGTTCTTGTGACTAAGATACATGTTCTCGGGCGAGACCCTGTATCAGCGTAGAAATGTTGGAAATTTACGTGATTTAATCCAGAAACCTTGTTGCGAATCGTCCAAGGTTCCTGGATTAAAGCTATATGTATTTTACCTGTGTTAATTTTAGCCATCAGAGCGTTAGTAGCTGTCTCGCTCCGATGGAGGTTTATTTGGATAACCTCAATCATTGTCATCCATTAAACTGTCTTCCAGCGAGTTGGTGATCACCTCCTCGCTCTTTGGATTTGACTCCACCGGGTAGCCTGAAGTGGCTATTAATGGTTCTGCAGTGTCCTTATCAGGCATAGGAATAGCAGTATTTTTAATAGACACATTCCCAATTCTGGAGAGCACACTTGTTCTGTCTTCTGGCGGGTGAGTGATTTGCTCCTCGCTTTTAGGATTTGACTCCTCAACATTGCCAGTACTTGCTAATGATGCTTTGGGTACTGTCTTAGGTGTTTTAGTGTCCTTATCGGGACCGGTTTTGAGAGCCCTTTCAATCGGCGCCTTCCCAATTTTGGAAAGGGCAAGTACACTTTCTTCTGGTTCTTCTTTCCTGTAAAAGACATCCCATTTTTCCACGACCAGCTCAGCATTTTGACCTCCAAGAATTTCCAGTATACGTTCATTGGCCAGTTTACTGCCCCATCCTTTTATGTACACAGTGGACTTTAAGAGCACCGGAAGCTCGCTCTTCTTTGCCAGTCCCAGCCTAGCGCCGTCCCAGGGAGGAGGGATACTTTCCACCAAGTTCTTTAGGTTGCTAACACATTGGTGAGATGCCAACCTCATCAACATCACGCCCATGCTGAACTCGCAGCTCTCGCTCTCTATTGGTTGTTTGCCCTTTGAAGCGA